CAAGTCGTCTGCCGTAGTGACCCAATGGAAAATTGACAATTCTCTCATCTCCTCTTGGTTAATCAATACAGTGTCCCGCCAACTCAAACGCAACTTCATGTATCTGCCCACTGTGAAAGAAATTTGGGATGCTGTGCGCGATTCCTATTCAGATGGGAAGGATCACTCTTGCCTCTTTGATCTTCAACACCATATCTGGCGATGTGAACAAGGCCCACGAAGCGTTATGGAGTACTGGCTTGAATTGGTTGCTCCATGGCAGGAATTGGATCTCTTAACTGAGGGAAGTTTGGACCTCTTCTGCTGATGCTGCTCATCACAAATGGAATGTTGACACCAAACGTGTTCTGCTCTTTCTAGCTGGCCTAAATACTGTATTTGATGATGTCCGTGGCCACATCTTAAGTCATACGTCTCTAGCTTCCCCATTAGAGGTCCAGTCTGTTGTTCGACGAGAGGAGTCTTGGTGACAAATCATGCTTCTTGAACCAAGACCGACTTCCTCTAATTCCTCTACCTTTGTTAGGAAGGGGCATGACCTTGCTACTCCTGGACGAAACCGACCCACGTGTGACCATTGCCACAAGGTAGGTCACACTCGTGACAGATGTTGGGACCTACACGACAAACCAGCTGATTGGAAGCCCCGTAAAGGTAAAGCTTGAGCCCACCAAGCTACATAAGAGGCTGATTCCCCAGCTCCTGTCTTCAGCAAAACAAATGACTCAACTCATGGAGGTTTTTAAAACTTTGCAAGCCGAATAGAAGCCTGTAGCTTTTGCCTCCATGGTTCATAAAGGTACATCCAAGGTTGCTTTGCATACTTCTCTTCCTTCTTCAAAGTGGATTGTTGACACTGGTACCCCTGACCACATGACCTCAGAAGCAGAAATGTTTGTTTCCTATAAACCTTTAGTAGGGAAGAAGAAGATTACCACTGCCACTGGTCTGCCTGCTCTAATTGCTAGAGTTGGTTCTATCAATATTTCGAAATCACTACACCTTGATTCTGTTTTACGTGTTCCTCACTTGGCTTGTAATCTACTTTCGACTTTACTATCTAGATGTTTCTACCGTGACTGCATTATGCTCTAGAATCAGGAACTCTGTTTTTGCTTCTGATGATAATAACCTTTTGTTATGGCATAAAAGGCTAGGTCATCCTAGTTTTTCCTATTTACAAAAATTGTTTCCCAATTTTTCATCCAATAAAGATTCTCGTTTTCATTGTGAAGTCTGAGTTAGCTAAACATCATCGTATTACTTTTTCTCCGACTGTTTATAAGGCTTCCCGACCTTTTTCAATCATTCATAGTGACGTGTGGGGCCCATCAATAATTCCAAATCGAACACATTCCAAATATTCTGTCACGTTCATCGATGATCACACGCGGATGACTTGGGTGTACCTCGTTAAGAATAAAACTGATGTTTGCAACATCTTTATTGAATTCTTTAATTATGTCAAGACTCAATTCAACACAACAATCCGAGTTCTTCACACTGATAATAGAACTGGGTACTCTAATCACACCTTTGGCACCTTTCTCACCCAACATGGCATTGTTCACAAGAGTAGCTGCCCTCATAGTCCACAACAAAATAGGATTGCTGAACATAAGAATAAACATCTCCTTGAAGTTACCCGTGCCCTTCTCTATACTCATAATGTCCTTAAATACTTTTGAGGGAATGCCATTCTCACTACCACACACCTCATTAATCGCCTTCCCAGCAGTGTGTTTTCCTATACTTCCCCGCTTGATGAACTTCGCAAAATGGGAGTGTTTCTCATCTCGATTCTACACTTCTTCTTCGTATCTTTGGGTGCCTTGTCTATGTTCACATTCATCATCCTTCTTCTAAGCTAGATCCCCGTGCCCCTCAAATGTGTCTTCCTCAATTGCTCTAACTTCCAAAAAGGCTACAGGGGCTATGATCCTGTCTCTCACCTTCTATTTGTGAGTCGTGATGTCACCGTCTCTCACCCTCAGTCTTCAATTCAGGGGGAGAGTCAGAGTGAATTTCAGTCTATAGAGTGCACACCCGAACCTATACCTCCCACTAACCTACCTATCAATGTGCCATCTAGTACTAGTACTCGACAGAAATGGGGCAAGACTTACTCACGACGGAATACTACTACAAATGACCGTCCTTGCTCTGAAGAAGTGCCGATCTCCAACCCAGTGATGGATCCTATAGAAGTCCATGATAATGTGAATCCTCCAGCTAATGTGAATGATAATCTTGACAGACCCATTGCCTTGCGAAAAGAGCCTCATACTTGCACCAAGCACCCTATTCAGAAGTATGTATCCTATGCTGCTCTTTCTTGAAATTACTATAATTTTGTGACTAGTCTTAAGAATATTAAAGTACCTAACAATGTGTATGAGGCATTTGAGATTCCTAAATGGAAAGCTGCAGTGTCAGAAGAAATGAGGGCCCTGGAGAAGAATGGTACTTGGGAAATTGTAGACCTACCAAGGGGAAAGAAACCAGTGGGCTACAAGTGGGTCTTCACCCCAAAATATAATGCAGATGGTACATTAAACAAGTTCAAAGCCAGATTAGTTGCCAACGGTTTACCTAGACAAACGGGATTGATTACAATGAAACTTTTGCCTCTGTAGCAAAACTTAACACCATTAGAGTTTCACTTTCAATCGCAGCAAATTTGGATTGGCCACTTGAGCAACTCGACATCAAGAACGCCTTTCTCAATGGTGATCTCAAAGAGGAAGTATGCTTGACACTTCCACCAAGTTTTGATGAAGGAAAAAGACACCAGGAATGCAAACTTAAAAAATCCATCTATGGGCTAAAACAGTCACCAAGAGCTTGGTTTGACAGATTCTCCACTATTCTTAAGGCTGAGTGATACAAACAAAGTTTATCTGATCACACTATGTTTGTCATGAGGAATGAAAAGTTAATAACCATCCTTATTGTGTATGTTGATGATATCATAGTCACTAGGAATGATGTTAAGGAGATAGACCGTATAAAGGTAGCCTTGAACAAGGAATTTGAAGTTAAGGACCTTGGAAAACTGAAACATTTTCTAGGGATGGAAGTAGCAAGATCTAAAGAGGGAATATATGCCTCTCAACAAAATTATATCCTAGATTTACTCAAGGAAACTGGAATGCTTGGATGCAGACCAAGCAGAGTTCCCATCAATAGATTAGAAAAAATGAACAAGCTACTAAAACCGAAAGAGAAGCTGCAAAAAGGAAGAAACAAGAAAAGGATGAAGTTGCTGCAAACAAAGGCCAATATCAACGACTAGTGGGAAAACTCATTTATCTCTCACATACTCGTCCTAACATTGCATCTGTAGTAAGTGTAGCTAGCCAACATATGCATTCTACAAAGAAAAAACATATGGATGCAGCTTATAAAATACTCAGGTATTTAAAAGGTACACCTGGCCAAGGGCTGTTCTTCAAGAAGAGCAATCTGAGAACTATTGAAATCTATACAGATGCTGACTGGACTGGTTCATAGGAGGACAGCAGATCAACTTCAGGATACTACACCTTCATATGGGGGAATTTAGTTACTTGGCAAGGTAAGAAACAACAAGTTGTGGCAAAAAGTAGTGCAGAATCAGAACTACAAGCCTTGGCCCAAGGAATCATGGAGGGGCTATGGCTGAAGCGAGTAGCAGATGAAGCACAAATACAGATAGACTCTCCTTTGAGACTCTTCTATGACAACAAGGCAGCTCTTAATATGGCACTGAATCTTGTAAAGCACAGCAGGACCAAACATGTTGAAGTGGATCGCCACTTCATTAGAGAAAAGGTGGAAGAAGGAATAATCTGTCTCTCCTATGTACCCACAAAGTTACAGCTTGCTGATATACTTACCAAAGGCTTACCGGAAGAAGTGTTTGAAAAGTTTGTAGGGAAGTTGAACATGATAAATATCTATGATCCAACTGGAGGGGGAGTGTGGTAATTATGTAAATACACTATGTAAAATTCTGATTTAGACTGATTCGTAGGAGAAAATTTCGGTTAGGATAGCAGGAGAGTATTGATGGGATATTGGGTCTCCAATTTCCTGATTTATTGTTGAGGATTTCCCTCTTGTAATCTATTTAATCCCAAGGCTCAGAGAATGTGAATATACCAGATTTCAATATACCGAAATTCTTCAAATGGTCATGGCAACTTCGAGTTCTTCAAATGCCTCTTGTGTCTTCTCACCCCTCTGAATGAATATTTCTCAAGAAATTGGGGTAGTGGAGCTGTAATTCGACTGTGTCCCTTGACAAACTTTCTGTAGTACCCTATCAAGCCCAAAAATCCTCTTAAAGCCTTCAAATTTTGGGGCTTAGACCACTGCACCATAGCTGTGATTTTGGAGGGATCTGCTTAAACGCCTTCAACAGAAATTATATGGCCTGGTATTCTATCTAACTTTGCCCAAGCACACACTTTTTAGATTAATAACCAATTGACGCTGCTTCAACAACTTCAACGAAATTATGACAACTACACTAGATAACCACTCACTCATATAAACAAAACAGCAAAGAAACTGAAAATGAAATAAACAGCACACTGTCACTGGTTTTCGAGAGACCATGACCTCTCCCATAAACCAATCACCCTGTCTACCTCCTACGTTGCTCATGCTACTTTTATTTCAAGCGTTCCACCACCCTGACATTGTTAGATGATCGTTAGGCTCCCTAGTTCCCAATATGCCCCTGACTTTGGCCTGCCTCCCCTGTTTGGGCGTTCTTTTATAGATCTAGCCCTAAAATGTAGTGTTAGGTAGAAAGAATGAAGACTTTGAAGCCTACTTCATATACTGGAAAAATTTCAATTTCACCTTTACTGTTCCAAGATTAAGCAAAGTTTGCAAACTGTTTGGTCAAATCTACGTAATAAATCAACATGCCCATGAAGCAAATCATATACAAAGCATTATGCAAAACATATGCGATCACTAGATTATCATTGAGAAGTGCAGAAAATTACCATATCAATTGCCTACTTGTATCTACAACTGGCTGTGATTTCACCTTCACAATAATAGAAAGAGTGGGTCAAATAAACGAGCACGTGACTATTTTACATTGCCATTAACAATGTAATACGATGAACAAAAGTATGAAATAGAATGAAGAAACACTGGTATATTTTCAAAGTCAAACATTTTTCATCATTTCACTAATAAGAATTTCTTTGATTGAACTGAATATTTGATGTAGCAAAATGCACAAAATTTTAAAATTGAATATACAGAGTTAAAAATGTAATATAGATAATCTATTCCTTATTTATTAGGTCCACTTATATTACAATTATTTCATTTTACCTTTCTGTCATTACTTAATATCAATTAGGTTTTGAATTTAAGGGATTAAAATATCACATTATAACACACTTGATGATAGTCCCTCAGTTATGTATCTTGGTTTATCTAGCATTTTGGGAAGAAAATATACAGTGCTTGTACTGCATAGTTTGCGGATCAAAGTTCTTGTAATCCTTTCTCTTTTTAAAATTCAGCCCTGTATTCTACACGATAGCAGAGCCCTTGCCATTATGGTGTTTTGATCACAAGGGAGAAGAGAAATTATGTCTTCATCATTTTAAATGGTAATTCTCAATTGCTCCCAATAGTTTTACATCTCAATAATACTTAAGCACTTTTGCCATCATGCACATCTGAAGAATGTGACTATTCCAATACAATTAATCAGTGGTATTGTTACTTCCGAGAGTCCTCCTTCCTCTACTTTGGCCAAAAATTTCTGTTTTTGCCAGCAGAATCTACCCAGATTAGTAAAGAAACTTTTAATGGTATAAAGTGGAGGTATTTGAGATGAATGTATTATCATACAAAAAAATGATAAGATTCATATTGAACATAAATGAGGATGAGTTAGAGCGGTGTCTATTATAGAGCAATTGTAGAAAATCATTTGAGGTTCTTTAGACACATACAAAGAAGACTACTGGATACATTGGTAAAGAGGGCAAATCAAGCAATACAGAATCCTCTAAACAGGGGTAGAGAAAAACCAAACAAACACTCAATGAAGTTATTAGCGGGACCTTTTGGTTAGTAATATATCAAAAAATTTGTTTGTTAATAGAGTCCAATGATGCCATACGATCTGTGTAGTTAACTCCACCTAGTAGGATAAGGCTCATTGTTATCATCCCATAGCAGAACTACTCTTCTAACACCTTAACTAAGCCTAAACATAGATTTTATATTTGGACAACTATAATCCTGCCAACGACACACCCAAATCGCAATGCTAACAATGAAAATCAAGGGGCAACATTACGGGCCATAAACCCAACAAGGACAACTACCCACTTTGGAGTGGTATGTGACTAAGTACACTTGCGTGGGAAAGTAAGGTACTTGACCAATGACAAAAATGCTAGGCTCAACTGATCTGAAATATAAAACATGGAAGGCTAGGAATAATCAAGTAATGGCATGGCTGTCCAACTCTATCGAGCGACACATCAGTGGGACCTCCATGCAAAATGAACAATTGTTGAAATTTGGGAAGCTGCTGCAAAAGCACATTCAACCCAAGAAAGTGCAGTAAAGATATTTGAGATCAAATGTGCTATTCATGAGGTAAAACAAGGGAAAAAGCCAATGACAGCATTTTAATAAATTGTCTAAATTTTGGAAGCAACGGGACCATTTGGAGATACACATCTGGAGCTGAGCTGAAGATATTGAATGATAGGTAAAGATTTTAGAAAAGACGCATATCTACAAATTCCTGATGAAGCTGAATGAGTTTTGATGATGTTCAGGTAAGGATTCTTGCCATTAGACCTCTTCCAACTTTAAAAGCTGTTTTTTCTAGAGTCAGAAGAAAAGAAAGTAGGAATAAGACCTAGCAAGGAATGCCTAGCAGCAGTGGAAAGAACTATGCTTGTGCTGGGCTACCATGTTGTCGAACTTCCAAAAACACCTATAACAGTTCCAGACCACCAACAAAGAATAATAACTTGAAAAGAAGTAAAAGTTTGTATAATCATTGTCAAAAGGCCAATCACACTAAGGACTATTTGCAATGTAAATAATAATGAACACAAGAATTAGTTTTGTTAGTCATACATTAGTTAGGTTCAGTTTGTGTTGATGACAGTTTGCCTAGGTTGAGCACAAATAGGGACTTGGGATTCAGAATATGCTATGCTGTTGCTTTTGCTCAAACTAAGCCGGTTCTGATCTCTCTCTCTTCTCTTCCCCCTTCATACCTCTTTCATCCCACTTCTGTATTCTTTAAGAAAATGTAGAGGTTTAAAACGTAATCAATATATAATTTTAATTTGGACTGATGTGGTCTTGGTGAAAAATGATAATCAAGAAGAAATCGCATCTGGGAGAGTGAACGAAGAGAGGTTCCATTAAAACATCTACGAGAGAATCGAGAAGAAAAGTAGAAAACGAGACAAGGTGGATCTTCCTAGTTTTACTTTTAACAATATTATCATTATATAAGCGTGCGACTATAAATGTATTACTTTTGTCAATTCATTTGCTTGTTCCGTGTTCTAAAAGCAACATAACATACTTTATTTCTCCTGTTCTTTACATTACTGCATTCCCAGGCATAGTTTGTCTTTGCAATGACTTAGCATGAAATTCATCTAATCAAGCATAGGGCCTACATTCTAAATAAAAATCATGCCTGTGATATGCTTGAAACTTTAAAGATAAGCTAAGAAACATCAAACAAAAAAGAAAAGGCAATTTGATCCAGCATTGAAACTAGATACCTCTCCAGATGTTTGAAAACTCCAATAAGTGTTTCCATTGGAAAAATCAAGAAAATAAATTTTCCCCCTATAACATCCAACAACCACCTGGAGAGATACCATATGTTAGAACAAATGGATAGAATCTATAAGTCCATGCAATAAAGTGACCTGATATGTTGACATATAAAAACCAACCTGGGAAAAGTCGCAAACAATTGCTGCAGAACATTCAACCCGTCCTTCCAGTTTGGTCTCCCACTGAACAGAACCACTAGACCAATTATTTAGCACAACTTCAGTACTCAGTAGTGCTAGAACACAAATTCTTTATAATTTTGCTATATAGTGCAAGCATAAGTATGCAGTCACAATACACCAACTACACACAACTTATTAAAAAAAAAAAAAAATTGACCATGAAGAGGATAGAATTCATAACTACCATAAAATAAATCCCAGTGTTTCATTAATCAGCTGAAGAAAGTAAAGCAGAAGGATGAAGCAATACAAATTTACCAACAATTCAAGCAGCAATACAAAGAATCAGGCTAGGGAAATAGAGCAAAACGAATAGAGATGTCAATTCTTCTCTGGTCCAATCTAATTAAACTAATTATATTTTAGATCGCATAAGAAAAGAAGTTGAATCTTCCAATCTACAGTGATGTTTTAAGAGACTGGAAAAGAATATAAGACACTCACGTTGTTAACACATTTGTTAATAATTTCACTAAATAATTCACACATCGAGTATGTAGTAGTAATGATACAAGGCACATAGATTAGCACTGAAAATCTTCATCTATAGATCAAAGGAGTATGTACAACATGTACAGAAGAAAGAGGAAGAGGGGATTGCGCAAGATAAAGAAAAAGATTACATGAGATATGTCTAATGTATTTACTCCCCACGATGCTGCCTAATAACAATAAATACTATTTATGTACTTACTAGGTCAACCATGAGGCATTAACGTTATTAATATCAGTGAATATGGAGCAGCTACCCACAACTCAAAATAGACGTTGAATATCTACAAAACAGAGATTTATTGATCCTGTTAAGAAGCACAAGTTTAATATCAGCTAACTAATCAATATTTCTGTCTATTTTATACAGTGTTTTGTCATCTTTAATCTAGGATTAGAAAAGATTCTAGGGTTAGCTTATTCGCTTAGGTCTTTCGCTTATCTATATCCATTGTACTCAAAGCTTTATTCAAGGATTAATAATAATCAGAGTCCCATTTTCCCTATTCCTTCAATCCTTCAAATCCAAAGCAGCAGAAATGCGTCCAATTTAAATATAACCCTTTTAGATTGTGCTGAGAGTAGCAGCTGATTATTCCCATCTATAGGGATATTTTAAAAGACTACAAAATAGAAAAACATGACTAAATCTTTTTATTTCCTTACTTCTTTCTTTTTTTTCTTTTTTTTCTTTTTGTTTTTTTTGGCCTAAGCCCACTTAGGAGGGTCCAATTAGTTAGGTTATTATTTAGTGCTTTATTAATTATTTTATGCATCATTTAAATTAGAATTAATTATATTAGATAGGATGCGTTTTTATCTCGATTTAAACTCGAATTTCAAGACATTAGGATTTAACTTTAGGTTTTATCTTGTACTTCTCTATATGTATTAAGCAAATACATCAAATAAAGCTTTGAAGCTGAGCATCAATTACTCAGCTAATTTCTCCTTTCCTCTTTTTTATTTTCTTCAGATTTCAAGTTTCCAATTATTTTCCTCAATCATTTCATGTTTTTTTTTTGGGCCGGGGGGGGAGGGAATCTGCAACATTCATGAAATAATTTGCGGTAACAGCTCTTGATAATTTCATTGATAGAAAAGTGTTACATATATAGGAAAAGGAGAGAATCAGATCTAATCTAATCCCTTAAACTCCTCCTATAATCTCAGTGAATATAATCAGAAATAAATTATAATAAAACTCAATAAAGCTTAGCATGATTCTAGGAGATAACAATCCTATCTATAAAGAGAAAACTAGGTCTACTACCCATACTTCCAACACTCCATTCAAGCTGGTGAATACATGTCAATCATTCCCAACTTGCCTATGAAAGCTTCAAATTTTTCCCAAGCGAGGGACTTAGTCATGACATTTGCTATCTGGTGCCTAGAAGGAATATAGGATAATCTATCATCTTAGCCTCTATTTATCCTTAATAAAGTGACGGTCAATCTCTACATGCTTCATACAATCATGACGTACAGGATTGTTTGCTATGTTAATAGCTCAAACATCATCACACCAGACCCTAATAGGATCATTAATTCCAATCTGCAGTTCCTTCAACAACCTAACCAGCCACATCCCTTCACAAATCCCTAAAACTAGTGCTCTATATTCAAATTCAGCAGAAATTCAAAATGCTACTAGTTGTTTCTTGCTTCTCCAAGTCACTAAGTTACCCAATATATGGGAGCAATACCCTATAATGGGTCTCCAGTTAGTTTTGAAGCCTCCCTAATCTGCATCGATAAACAACTCAATGCTTCTAATGTCCCTTTTTGCAAAGAATAATCCTTGCCCTAAGGTCTTTTTTTAGACATTTGAGAATCTTGTAGACAGCTGTCTTCTAAGAGCTACTTGACAATTGACTCGCTACACTGACTAGATAGCATATGTTAAGCCTTGTGTGAGACAAATAAATTAGTTTTCCTATTAGCTTCTGATATCTCTCCTCATTTATTGTTGTGCCATCAAGTCTAATGGTCCATTTTTGATTGAGTTCCATTGGGTAATTTGCAGGTTTGGCTCCCAACACCCTCGTCTCCTTTAGTAGGTCTAGGGTGTATTTGCGCTAAGACACACTAATTCCCCACTCCCATGCCCAAAAAATATCCTAGGGACCCAAGTTCTTTGATCTCAAATTCAATTGCCAAGTTTTTCTTCAGCCTTGCAATCTCTTCAGCATCATTCCCTGTTAGCATTATATCATCAACATAAACAAAGAGAGTAGTTATTCTATCTCCATAACACTTAATAAACAAAATGTGATCTGCTTGGCTTTGTTTGCATCCCCACAATTTAATAGCTCTGGTAAAATGTTAAAACCATGCCCTAGGTGATTGCTTTGATCTATACAAACACGTGTAAAGCCTACAACCTTGGGGGAGTTGTTGAAAGTTCTCAACCCTAAGGAGTCTCCATGTATACCTCCTCTTCAAGATCATCATTTAAGAAAGCGCTTTTAACATCTAGTTGATGAAGCGGCAATTTAGGTTAGCTGCTGATAGGCCTGGCACTGAGATAAGGGCAGTATATGGTAGAAGGAGGCCAACCCGAAGACTGAGGGACGGTTATCTAGGGTTGCGTGCATAAGTGTGGGGACAGGAGCATGTGGATGGTTTTGGAGAGCTGCTGACCTCTCGAATGTCAGGGAAGGTTTTATCCTTACTGTTCATCAATTTTCCTAGTCACCATTAGATATTTGCCGTTTTATTCTGTTTTCCCAGTATAGTAGCTAGGATACTCTCTATTTTGCCATTTTTCCCCCTCCTTCCTCCATTGAGGGGGTCTTCTACTGTGAATCTTGGTTATTCAGAATAATACAGCGAGCTCCA